GCTGGACTCCCATGTAGTCGACCGCAGTTTGCGTCCCAGACCCGGTGGCTTAAAACTCACGCTGGGCGTGTGTGCGTGCGTGCCCAAGATCCCGAGAGGAGAATGGAGGAGAAGGGATTGCGGCATGGCCATCCCCCCTGGGGGGTGATTTCTCGCTTTCTGTCTCTGTCTCTCTCCATCTGTCTGGCGAGCGCACGCGCCCTATAGCAAAAACCTCTCCAAAACAAAAAAGAAGAAGAAGAAGGTCTGTCAGTTCCTCAAAACAATTAAAATAGAATTACTATATGAATCCAGCGATATCACTTCTGAGTACATACCTAAAAGAGTTGAGCAAAAATTCAAATATTTGTATACCCATGTTAATAGCAACATTATTCACAGTGACCAAAAAGTGGGAGCAGCCCAGGTGTCCTGTGACAGATGAATGGATAAACAAAAGTGCTACATATGTACAGCGGAAAATGAATCACTCTTTAAAAAAGGAAAGAAATTCTCCAATATACTACAACGTGGATGAACCTTGAAAAATTGCACTAAATGAAGTAAGCCAATCACAGAAAGACCAATACTGTATGATTCCACTTACATGAGATACTTATAGTAATTAAATTAATAGAGCCAGAAAATTCCAGAGGCTGGAGGTAGGGAAGAACAGGGAGAGATCATTTACGGGGTTTAGAGTTTTATTTGGGAACATAAGTCCTAGAGATGATGGTGAGGGTTACAGAGCAATTTACTTAATACCATACACTTAAAAATGCTTAAAGTGGAGGCCAGCAGGTGGCACGGAGGTTGAGGTGGCTAGATCCCATAAGGCTGACTATGTGGTTCGGGTCCCAGACCTTACAGTTTGAAAGTCATGCTGGTTACATGTGTATGCGTGCTTAGAATTCTGAGAAGTGAAGTAAGGTGAAGGGATTGTGGCGTGGCCATCCTTCCCAAGAGGTGAGTTCTCCCTTTCCCTTTCTTCTGTGTCTCTCTTGGGTGAGTGCACATTTCTTATAGGAAAAACTAAAAACAAAGCAAAAATCAGTCAAAGTGGTCAATTTTATGTTTTGTATATTTTATAGTACAATTTTTAAAATACACTTTTTAGAGAAGGGATTCAGGCAGATGCTCATTACTAATCCAGTAATTAAGATCAACCTAGTTCTGTGGTAGTAAATTGATTCACTTTTAATTTTCAACTTGTTCTAAAAATAAATGCTTAAACTTAGAATTATATGTTGCATAATGGTCAGCTCTTGGTGATACATCTTAACAAAGCTAGAATTTTACATAAAAGATCCATCTAGTAAATGAATAAGGCATATGCTTTGGGTTTATATTCAACTCACTCATTGTTTATTTTATTTGTCTGGGGATTTAGAATAAGGAAGCAGTATTTCAAGAATAAATCTATGTTTAACTTCTTATTTGCATATCATCTTAAGAAGTCTACTGCATCCTAAATTTAAAACACACTTATAGATTTAAAATCTACAATGCAAAAAAGTTTTGCTTTTAACTATGTGGCTTCTATCCCTCAAGCCTACATAAGGAAATTTTAATGAAAAGAGGGACTTACTGGAGAGCTGTGATCCGTCTCAGCACATGTGCCACACCCTCCAGAAGGAGCCAAGGCTGACGCCTGAAACTAGAACTTCAGTCCGCTTAGACATTTACTCTCTTACTTCTGTTGTAGCAGAACTCGCCCATAGCAATTTCTAGTAAGAAGAAAGTCAGCCATTAATACTGAAAGTGCCAGGGCCAGCAGGTGGTTTTGTGGCTGGGGCGCTGGACATCCACATGGCTGATCCCAGTTCGAGTCCCGAACCAGGTGACCTGCTTTTGCTTCCCCCGCCCCATCCTCTCTCATGAGTACACATGCCCTATAGGAAACTTAAAATAATACTAATACTAATAATAAATTTAATTTAATTTAATAAATTTTAAAAGACTGAAAGTACCCTTTGAGTTTCATTTAAAATGTCAATATCCATTAATAAACATTTTTCTGACATTGTCTTTTATAATATGAAAATTAAAGAACCCTCAATCATGAGGCCTATAACTTGTGAGGGTAGCAATGATCAGCGTTAATTAACACAGCAAAGTGTGTGACTTTTGCTTCTTTGGGGAGATTATTCTGTATCATTTTGAAATTAATTTTCATAGAACAGAAGGCGAATTCAGGTGTCGGTGTCAATATAAATGTATTTTCACAGTATTCTTTTAAGATTTTAGCATATTACTCAATCTACTATTAAATGAAAGAAGTTTAATGATCATTTATGGCCCAGATATTCTTTTACTCCTTTTTGAAATACTGCATATTCAGAATTACCAATGTTGAGATTCTTTGATAGCTTCGGCTAGTTACACGGAGCCTGGCACCTACAGAGGGCCTGGGTAGGGTTTGGGAGATGTGTTTTGTTTTGCTTTTTTGTTGTTCTTTTTAAACCACATTAAAAAGGCTGACAAAATGTAAAGAGGAGTTTAGATATATCTCTCCTTTTTTCTAAGGTTCTTTCTTTTATGAGACGAGTGAGAGACCTCCACCAGAGTCTTGCCAGGCCATGACCCACCCCACTTCAGCCAGCCAGGATCCGAGGTTGGCCCTGGCCATGCTCTGCTCATCTAGGCCAACCCAGTATCCGAGCCCAGGCCTTCGTGTACGGCTCCAGTGCAGCGCAGCCACACTCGCCACCTGTGCTCCCAAGCTAGCCATCTCTCCCTTTCCAACCAGAGTTTATGTTCAGATTAGGTAGATTAGCGGTATCTCAGTTGCACTAGTCTTGTGTTGTACCGGAGCCTGTGGTTTTCTAAGTAGCAAAGTCACACTGAAACACCAAAAGACTAGGACCAGCAGATAACGTAACTGTTAAGTCGCTGGGCTTTCACATCGTCAATCATGGTTCAAGTCCTGGGCCTGGTGGCTTTAAACTCATGCTGGTGTGCGCAAAATCCCTAGAGGAGGATGGAAAAGAAGGGATTGTGGTATGGCCATCCCCCCTGGGGAGTGATTTCTCACTTTTTGTCTCAGCAAGTGAACATGCCTATAGCAAAAATCTCTCTCAAAATTTTTTTAAATAATAAAAAGTAAAAAAGCTAACAACATGTATCTATCAGTAAGAAAGCTAAAATCAGGTAGGCCGAGTCTAAACATTACAGGTAGAACGTTTTCATAAATGTATGATACCACAGCCAGTCTTCTGGGTTATCTTTTCAGATTATTTACCCCTACCACTTTCAAAGTCATTGTCAATATCAAATCAGTCAGTGGGGGCTGAAATGGTAAAATAGATGGCCAGGTTAGAATATATGTGCAAGGAAACAGATACATAGCTCAAACTTCAAACATTTGATTCTACTTTGTGTACCAGTTATATAACTTGCAAAGGAATATGCTTTTCCCAAACCCTGAAAATTGACCCAGAGGTAAATATCCTAATTTAAAAAAAGAAAGGAAGGAAGGAAGGAAGGAAGGAAGGAAGGAAGGAAGGAAGGAAGGAAGGAAAGAAGGAAGGAAGGAAGGAAGGAAGACAAGGCAGATGAAATGAAAACAAGCAGCATAAAACCTATGCTGTGAAGAAGTGACACCATCATCCTTCATTTCCCGCATGAGGGTCAGAGGTCCATTGAGGAGTTGGACTTCTCAGCTATTTGGGACTTCTCAGGCTGTTTCCTTCCCCTGGGAAAGGAAGTGCTGAGTCTCTTGGATGAGACTTTTGTCGTCATGTCTGTTTGAAATGAAATTGAGTACAGCCAGACATCTCTGCAGAGAACAGGCTTTCCTGTTGTCAGCACTTGCTGTTGCTAGCACTTACTTACAGGCTGAAATCGAGGGCACGGCCATAGGAGAGCACGTGACATGGGCATGGCCAGTTGATGGCGCGCACACGGTCTCCGCTGGGCTTGCAGATATGACTGTGCACGATAAAGCCACGAGGAATTTCTGTTCACTGATTAATCAGATACCTATTTGCTAGTATGTGCCAGGCTTCATTAAATTGCTGCTAATAGCCCTCTGAGTTTTCAGGTCATTTAAGGAGGGAAATACAGTTTTAAAGCCCAAATACTTCAACAAGATAGCCTGTTTTGATTGTTGGCATAGTAAATTTGAGAGTTGTTCGGGGCAGTGAAAATTAAAGACATTTTCCCTTAGAATAAGACTGGTAATAGGCACATCCAAGTAACAGTTGATATATAATATTTGATGGTTTATTATAATACTAATATTTACCTCCAGTAAGTGGGCATTTACAGATCTATCTGAAGTAGGTTGCAGGTGCAAATTGACAGACCATGGCAAAGTCTTCTGTGGGCTCCTTAGTTAATGTACTGATAGGATTCCAAGTTGAGATTTAGCATTTGTTGATTCTGGCCTGGGTTCCTGTTGTAATGAGATGGTATTGACAGTGAGACAGGGCAGTTGTATTAGGATAGTTCCTTCAGCCCTTCTCCTGTGGTTAATGAGAGTGCCGGTCAGGTCCGGAGACTGGAGCAGAAGTTGGAAAGCACACACAGGGCACGTGGTTGAAGTGGGCCTCCAGGAAGAGATGCTGCCTGGTTGGTCTGGGGGTGGCAGGGGGTGCTGCGGGCTTGGTAATGTAGACGAGATAGCACGTTCGCATTAGCCAGGCAGGGTTAGCGTGACCTGAGTGCAAGAATGGCTGTGAATGTCCTGCATTGTTTTGATTATTTTTATAAGAGTCTTGGACTTTTTTTTTCTTGCCAAAAAAGGGTGGTTCTGATCATACTTCTGAGAAAACACTACAGTTTAGTCAATCTAACCTTATTTAGCTTCGCTATTAGAGCAAAGACTAAATAATTGGCTCCACTGAGGTGAAGGGTCTTATTCCACCATCTGGGTCTCAGACACAATAGTATGGTTTTCTTTCATTTCTTTTCTAGTGGACTTTTATAAAGAATTAAGGTCATTTTCCTGTAATTCCAGCTTTTCTGTCCTTATGGTCATTGATTTCACAGACTTCTTCCCTTTCTGCCTTCTCCTCCAGTTTACTTCAGTGTCCCCAGCAATTCCTGAATTCTTGAAAACTCCTCCGACTCCAGATCAGCCTCCCACGAGGTCCACAGCTCCCGTCCTCTCCACAAACACTGTGTCCTCAGCGAAGCCTGGCCCAGCACTGGTGAAGGTGAGTACCTGCACTGGACACGCCCTGAGTGGAGGGGCTTGACCGGGACCTTCTGTGGCCCTGGCTGTGGAAGAAAAAGGCACTCACGTAAGTTGCCCAGGCTACCTATTAGCCCAAGGTCTTGAAAGGGAACCCACAGAGGGACTTGCTAGACCCAGGCCATCATGTCTGAAACTACGCCTTCAACAAATGACCTCTCTGTAGTCAAGGAAAACAGCACAGTTTTGTCTAAAACTGTTAAGGCTGTGCAGAAAGGCTTCAGGAACCACTTTTCCAACAATTCACAATTCTGCTGCCACATCGGCCACCAAAGTGAAACACAGAACAGAATAAGATCGTTTCTCAGCATACCACTTGGGATTCTTAAACCCACAGAAGTCTTTAGTGGAACATGTCTTGGGAATTCACACACAGCTCATTGGTATTCCAGATATATTACATGACAGGTTAAAGGTTTTTTTGTTTGTTTGTTTGTTTTTTGAGAGGTTTTTTTTTTTCACTATAGGGCGCGTGCGCTCGCCAGACAGAGAGAGAGAGACATAGAGACAGAAAGCGAGAAATCACCCCCCAGGGGGGATGGTCACGCCGCAATCCCTTCTCCTCCATTCTCCTCCCGGGATCTTGGGCACGCACGCACGCACACGCGCCCGGCGTGAGTTTTAAGCCACCGGGTCCGGGACACGAACCGCGGTCGACTACGTGGGAGTCCAGCGACATAGCCATTACACTAACTGCTGGTTCCCATGACAGGTTAAAGGTTTTAGAGAAACAAATGGGTTTTTGATTTAGCAAATTTGGCCAAAGAAAGCTTCATTTGTGTTTCAGTAAGCTTCAGTTTTGTGGCACTGTTGGCTACATTTTACTTGGTCAAAGTAATTCAGTTAGAGGAAGTCCTAAGGAAGGGCCAGCCTGTGGCCTGGTGCTTAAGGCAGCTGGATCCCATATGGCTGCTCATGCAGGTCAAGTCCCAGACCTGACTTCTTGAAAATATATACTGGGCACATGTACATGTGTGTCTAAAAGCCCAAAAGGAGGGATAAATGGAGAAAGGATTGTGATGTGACCATTCCCCATTGGGGGGAGAGGGTGTTTTCTCACTTCTCTCTCTTTGCCTCTCTCTTGCAAGTATATGTACCTTCTGGCAAATAAATGTTTTAAAAAAGAAGAAAACCCCCAAAAAGATTAAAAATTATAATATACAGTACATTAAAGTTCCTAAAACTGTATTTAGAATTTCTAAATAAAGTGGTTAGGAAGAGTAAACAGATGAATAGTTAAATGATTGATATTTTAGAGGTGACTTTTACCAAAACTGAAAGAATATAGATTTCAAACTTATGGAACTAAAAAGTATGGTAGAGAGCAAGCTAAACTCTCACCACCTTTCAGATGAGGAGACCAGAGCCCCCAGTTGTCAAGAAGAGACAAAGCCAGGAAGGGCCCCAGCTCCCCCAGGCCCACTTTAGCCTTCACCTGCCTTCTCAGCCTGTTGCCACACTCTCCCCCGAAGGGGCTGGCCTTCGGATTTGGGCAGTACAGAGTCCTCACTGCCTTCTCTGTCCACTGGGGCCATCCTTGTCCTTGACCTTCCTGGAGAGAAGGCCCTCTGTCAGCGTGGCTGAATGTCCATGGCTTCAGGACATCTGTCCACAGAATTTCACCATCTTCCAGTGCTTCACACAGGAACCAGAAATTGCAGGGGACTGCAGATAGCAACTTGGCCAGTAAAATCAGCTCCTACGTCCCCCTCCACGTGTGCAGCACTTATGGCACGAAGGCAGTGTAGACGGCCGCACGCCTTACCTGCTGATGTCGGAAGCTGGTTCTCTGCCTCTCCCGTCTCTGAATCCTGCTCTTCACTGAAGTCTTTAAGGAGGGTCTTGGTTCTTAGGAGGATGCATTGTTTAAGAACATGAAATTCAGGGGCCCAGAGGTAGCTCTGCAGTAAAAGATGATGCTCTGCAAGGCTGACCCACATGGAAGGGTTCAGGGTCTCTTGTGAAGGCCTCCTGAGTTCACCAGCACATGTGTGCCCACAACCTGGGGCTGGCTGAGCTGAGTGTGCACAGTGGTTTTTGACACCCGATGGGGGTGAGGGAGGGGTCTGCCTCTCATGTGCGTGCACTTGGAGAAGAAATAAATCTTTAGAAAAATGTAAAAATCAGTTTGGTTAGGGAATCCCAGTACTATGCCAAGAGAGGAAAGGAAAGATACATGTCAGGACACAGACCACAATTCTTTCCGTTCTTCTTCTTTTTTTTTTATAGACCACAGATTCATTTATTTTTAACACCCATCATGCCGTGAATTCATCGGGAATAGGTTGCAGTAGCTCAGGCTCCTTTCCATGGGTTCTCACAAAGGGTGCTTCTCTGGGTGGAGCAGGCCGGCCCTTTAGTTGAACCCAGGTACTTTTCTCTTTGGCTTTCTTCTTTTTCTGGTCATTTTCCTTCACACGTTTTAGGAAGCTATCTCTGCTCTTAGAATGTTAATATGCTCAATACGCACATTGATTCTCTTGGCAAGAATCTTGCCCTTAACTTGTTTGTTCACAACAATGCCAACAGCATGCTGGGTAACATTGTAGACTCTTCCAGTTTTGCCACGGTAACATTGGTGGGGCATTCCTTTTTGAACAGTACCCATTCCCTTGACGTCTACAATATCACCTTTCTTGTAGATTCGCATATGTGTGGCCAAAGGAACAACTCCATGTTTCCTAAAAGGCCTAGAAAATATATATCGGGTGCCTCTTCGTGTTCGTCATTTTGGTGAATTACTTCAAGATGGCGGTTCCGGTCAAAATGAAGGCAGTTCTTTCCTTTCTTCTTTGCAGGAAACTATTTCCCAGCCTTGGTTAATGAAGTACGAGACATGTGCTGACTGATAAATCTGTAGTAACAGCTTTAATCTGAGGAATTCTGGTTATTATATTGGGTTGTCGGAAAAGTCATGACATATTTTTTTCTACGCAAAACATGACTTTTCCAGCAACCTGTTTCTGTCCTTCTCCCTCCTCCAGCAGATTCCTTCCTGATTATGGTTGGGTCCGCTGTTTTATTGTCCCGTAATGATTATACTTAAACCCTGTTTTCAGTATAAATTATCCCAGACCCGTTCATGCTTATGATCAGTTTGAAAAGACTAGGAATATAACTTATTATTGATAATAAAGTGAGCAGATGACAGTGAATTAATATTGTGAGATTCAGGGGTATGTTTGAGTAGGCAAGAATGGTTTCTGATATTGTGATGTACTTTTCGTGCCTGATAATTAAAGTGATTTCTGATTTCCGTACACATTCATCATCATTCATTGAGCGGGTACTTACTGAGCACCATACTGTTCCGAGTACCAGGAGTTAACAGAGCAAGGAGTAGGACGGTAAACAGACACCCAAACAGAATGTGCAGGTGGCAGAGAACATCCTGAGGATGGGGATCCTGGGGAGACGTCTGTTTTAAACAGGGTGGTCCCGTGAAGTAAGCATGTCGGGGTAGAGAGCTGAAAGGGCTGAGGGTATAAGCCCTTGGGATATGTGGGAAGAAATCTAAACTTCTAAACAAGGAGTTTGCCAGTGTGACCTGCACAGAGATGGCCAAGGGGTTAAAAAGTAAGCCATGCAGCCAGGGTATGGCCTAACAGCAGAGTCTGTAAAGGCTTTAAGAACTAAGGCTTTAGGGACCAGAAGTTGGCATAGTGGCTATGTCGCTGAACTCCCATGTAGTTGACCACGGTTCACGTCCCGGACCCAATGGCTTAAAACTCACACCGGGCGCATGTGCATGCATGCCCAAGATCCTGAGAGGAAAATGGAGGAGAAGGGATTGCAGTGTGCCCATCACTCCTAGGGGGTGATTTTTCACTTTCTGTCTCTCTGTCTCTCTCTGTCTATGGCGAGCGCACGTGCCCTAAAACAAAAACCTCTCCAAAAAAAAAGTTGTATAATGATGCAAAATATTACTTTGATGCTGTAGTATAATCAGATTTTTCAATTGTTCATATGAAAATCATAATAAAATATGCTAAACAGTATGACTCAATAGCATTTTGGGTAAAATAATTGCTTTATATATTAAAATTCCTTTTTAGAACAGTAAAATCTCATTTCTGTCAAGACCAAGTGAAAGAGCCAAACGTAACTTAGAAAAAGATGCATGAAGATTTGGATTCTTACCCTTTTCTTTGGTCCTATTTGACCAAATCCAGTTCCTTCACAATGTAGCAGATGTAACAGGTCATATATTAAACATGGTAAACAGCTTTCACCAGCAGAACTGCCCTGTAGGCAAAATGTGATGGCTTTCATTATCACTGGGGCCGGCAGGCTTTGAGCGATGTTGAGAGAGCAGGGAGCAAAGGCAGGAGCAGAGACCAGCTGAGGTGCCGTCCCCAGCGGGGGCAGTGGCAGGCCGCGGAGGGAGAGCAGTTGGAGCCTGGCCATATTCAAAGTGACGCTGCAGCATGGCTGACAGGGTGGACCTAGTGTGGAGAAAGGAGGAACCGTGACCCTGTCTGCCGTTTTGTGTCTAAGAACTGAAATGTACCGCTGGTGTTTCCTGTGATGGGCAGGTGCACAGGCCTGGAGCTCAGGGTGCTTATTAGACCCCTCGTGGAGGTGTCCTGCAGCAGGTGGACAGATGCGTCCAGACCTCAGGAGAGGGCTAGACTGGAAAGACTAGAAAGAGCAGTGTGGAAGCCCTCAGTGGTATACCTGGTGTTCAAAGCCACGAAATCCTGTAAAATTACCTGCAGCCTACGTGTGGATAAAGTAGTAGTACCAGAACTGAGTCCTGGACTCCCCAACATTTTGGGGAGATAGGAAGAACCTGCAAAGGAGTCTAAGGAAAGAAACAGCCAAGAAGGTAAGCAAGTATGGCAGCCCAAAAGCCAAACGAAACACTTGAAGGAGGAGGGAGAGATTGGCTGTACCAAATGCTGACCTAGGGCATTAAGAGGAATACTAGGAACCAGCGTGGGTTTAGCAGCATCGCAGTTACAGTGGCCCTGACAAGGAGAGTTGCTGTTGAGTGACAGAGGCAAAAACTTAGAGCAGGCACAGAGCAATGGTAAGGGTGCACGGTTGACAGGTTACAGGAAGCGTTTCTTGAGGACCTTTGCTGGAAGTGAGCATGCAAACGCAGCCAGCTGGAATGGGGTCAGGAAAGGATGTTTGTGAGCAATGGGAGTGGTCCAGGAGAGGGGCAAGGATTGTGGGCAAGGAAATGCAGGCTGGCTCAGGAGGGGAGGTGCTGGCCTGGGATAGCAATGCTCACGGTTCGTCCATAGCCACAGGCAGCAAAGCCACCACATGCACAGCCCAGTACAGACAGGCACTGAGATGTGTGGCACTCTGTGCCGATCGCTTCCTTGCTCCGGGTGTAGAAAACCAGGCTGCAAGCTGACAGAACAGGGAGGAGGTATTAAAGGTTTGAGAAGAGATGGGGCTGGCACGTGGCATGGTGTTTGAGGGTGTTGGATTCTCACATGGCCGACTGCGGTTCGAGTCCTGGACCTGGTGACTTGCTTTCTCACTATCTCTTTCTCTCTCTGGTCAAATTAAACAATAATAATAATCACAATAATAATGACAAATAGAATTAAGTAAATAAATAAATTATTCTTTAAAGAGGTTTGAGAAGAGAAAAAGGTATCAAGTAGTATTCCAGAGGAGCTAGAAAATGTGAAAGGATGGCCAGGTAGCACTGATGAGCCTTAAAGCTGATGGTTGTGAATTTAAAGCGAGACTTGGGCTGTCCTTCGTGGCCAGGGGTAATGCAGCAGTGCATGAGCTGAAGCCACATGGGATCACTTGTGGACTGCAAGAAGGCCAGGTCCTAGCCATCAGAGGTGAAGGCGTGAGGTTCATAAGAATAAGTGCTTTCCAATATCTGTGTACCTTTTACAGATCCTTCCTTACAGATATTCAAAAATAGGCTACTAGTTCATCGGATTATGTCGTATCCAGTGGGTGCTGGTAACGTTTAACAGCTGGCTAGGGCTGGAGGGCAGGCCACAGCCTTTGCCAGTTCCCATGATGGCTTCCTCTGTGGTCAGTTTCAAGCTACCAACAAGATCGTAATGAATGTGAAGTTGGGAGAAGATGCTCACGTTCCGCTCTTACGCGTCAGTAAAGCTGGCAGCCCCCACCTGCTGTGTCCATAACCGCTGTGTCATGCAGCCATGGGAATCTTGTCGCAGAATCATTAGGATGTATCAAGGGAAGGGCAAGAAAGGACCGCATCTAATGAGCTTATCTGGTATCCTCAGTAATGGGGAACACTAACACGCACAGGAAGGAATGCAAAAGCACACCGTGTACCTACTGCTGATCTGTAGAAGATGGTGACTTTTATCTTTTTTAGGTTTTGTGTTGTAATTTTATAATTCTTCGGAATTTGGATACAAAGTGTATTCAAACAGTTCACAGAGGGAATAGCAGATGGCGTAATGGCTACGTCACTGGACTCCCATGTAGTTGGAGTCCCGGACCTGGTGGCTTAAACTCACACAGGTCACATGTGCATGCATGCCCAGGATCCCAAGGAGAGAATGGAGGAGATGGGATTGAGGCATGGCCGTCCCCCTTGTGGGTGATTTCTCTCTTTCTGTCTCTCTGCCGAGTGCACATGCCCTATAGCAAAAACCTCTCCAAAAAAAAAAAAAAAATTCATAGATGTATATTCTGAAAAACTATGCGTGGATTGCAGCAAATTCTTTTGCACTAAAATAAACTCATATTTTAATTCCATTTTTCATGGGCTTTTTGAAGTCCCCTCACATGTAACATCATATCAATAGCTACATTTAATTTAGTACTTCTCAAAGTCTTTTTATTAAGTTGGATGTGTTACCTAAACTAGCTTAAGAATAATTTTCTGTATTTTTCTTTTCATTTGTTTATATGGCTTTTTTGGGTCGATGAAGTTATCTTATATGAATACTGAAAAATAGAAAATCATCTGATAACTTACAAAATAAGAAGAAAAGAACTCAGGAAAAAGTCATCTGATTCTTAATGACTGATTCTTACAATGAGCAAGGCATAGTCTCACACCCCATTTTCAAAGTAAAAATGTAATTTTTTTTTTGAGAGGTTTTTGCTATAGGACACTTGTGCTCGCCAGACAGACAGAGAGACAGAAAGCGAGAAATCACCCCCCAGGGGGGATGGCCATGCCGCAATCCCTTCTCCTCCATTCTCCTCTCAGAATCTTGGGCACGCACGCACACGGGGTCCGGGACTCGAACCACGGTCGACTACGTGGGAGTCCAGTGACATAGCCATTACACTAACTGCTGGTCCCAAAATGTAATGTTTTTGAAAAACTTTAAAAATTAATATTCACACTACTCAATATTTTAGTTTACTTTCTATGTCATTTTTCCTTTGAGTTTTATATTCTGCTTTGTTCTCAATAGAAACATCTTGTTTTTATATATTCTCCATAGATTTTATAACATTCCAGTTATAGTAACATATACTTAATCTCTCCCCTTCTGAACATTTCATGTACAACCTGCTTTTTACTCTGAGATAACACTGTATGTGTAAGCATTCCACTGTATGTCTACACAGGAAACCCGAAGTCAGCCTTCCTCGAATTTGAACAGACATGCTGGCCTGAGCCTCTTAGCCATATCCTCAGGGAAAAAATGCAGCAGGAGAGAATTTCTTGGTCAGAGTAACTATGCAAATGTTTTCATAGCTTTTCAAATGGATTTAGCATATTGCTTTCCAACATAGCCCTACCAGTTTCCAAGGTGCATTACTTTTTTAACTCCAAATCGTTTAGACACAGTAGAATAGATTGCATGTGGTAACATCTCTTAAAAAGTTCTTATTTTATTTTTCTCAAATACAGCAAAGCCATCCCAAGAATCCAAACGACAAACACCGTAGCAAAAAGTGCAAAGATCCCAAGCCGCGGGTGAAGAAGTTGAAATACCACCAGTACATTCCGCCAGACCAGAAGGGGGAGAAGAACGAGCCACAGATGGACTCCAACTACGCCCGCCTGCTCCAGCAGCAGCAGCTGTTCCTGCAGCTGCAGATCCTGAGCCAGCAGAAGCAGCACTACAACTACCAGACCATCCTGCCTGCTCCGTTCAAGTACGGGCAGCTACGTCTCCTTCATGGCGGGATTTACGGTGGTGGTTTATGAGGAACAAAAGTTACTAGAGATCAGATGTTGTAGTTTATGTGCGCAATGATTCTTTTTATTTTTATAAAATGTGCAGCGCACTTAATATGCAATGTCCAAAGTCAACATAGTGAGAATGGCCTGCATTCTGGCCCCATTTTTGTCCTCCAAAACAGGTGCTGAACACGTACAAGTTAGAAACGCCTTTCCACAATGACTCGCCCAGAGAGGTTTGCCTGTTAAATACGCAAAACAGTGGGAATGGTAGGAGAAAAGCACAGGAAGTGTGAGGCCTGGTATGAACTGCCTCAGAAGAAAAGAAGACATACAGCCAGAGCGGTCGAGGACCGCCTTGTGGAAGAGGCAGACACTTGCGTACAGAGGCTCGGTGGGGCCCTCGCAGGCGTGGGGAGGAACGGGCAGCGCCCATTGTGGGGTGAGAAAGTCACCGGATGGAGAATGCGATTAAGTTTAAGAGAAGTCAGAAGGCAGAATTGAGTAGAGCCAAAGTCTGGAGGGACTGGAAGTTGGCAGAGGGCTTTCGTCGATGTGGTAGACAGCAGCGTGTTTCAGAGGGCGGTGGTGACGTGGCAATTTGGAAGCACAAGAGTAGTTGGACATTGGGATCAAACGCAAGTCTGGAAACAAGTGAAAAGATGAAAGGACAGCGATAACGGAAAGGAAAGAACAAATAGAGATTTTAAAAGACAATTTCTGTCATTTTAAAAGTTGAATAAAAACATTGACTCTTAGTAATGAGTATTGTAGACTCTCAACCAAAAAGACAGCATGAATAAATAGAATAATTACTTGAAATCATGCATGCTCAAAGGGACAGTATCATTCACAAAAGATCAAAAGGTAGTTTGTGGGGGGAGGGGTAGGTAATATTCTTTTTCTGTAATAAAGCACAGATACACAGTACATAAACATATGCAGTGTGTCTGGTATTAAGTTTTTGCGGGGAACCAGCAGATGGCGTAATGGTTGCATTGCTGGGCCTGCATGTAGTTGACCACAGTTGAAGCCCCAGACCCACTGGCTTAAAACTCACGCTGTGTGTGTGCGTGCATGCCCAAGAGCCCGAGAGGAAAATGGAGGAGAAGGGATTGCAGTGTGGCCATCCCCTTTGGGAGGAAACTCTCACTTTCTGTTTCTCTGTCTCTCTGGTGAGTGCATGCATCCTATAACAAAAATCTCTCTCAAAAATAAAAACCTTTTAGGGGACAGCAATTCAGAAAAAAAAATGTTTAGAAGGCTCCTTGGTGGACATAGTGAATGAAAATCGGGTTGAAAAACACTGAAGTAAAAAATGTATGCTCATAACTCTGACTTGAGGTTTATAAGCTGAATTTTTTGAAAGGAGAATAATGATACAGAAAATAATCGTCATTTCTTCCAAACTTCAAGAAACTCCATCTCAAATACTCCAAGTATTTAGCTTCAACAAAATTCAGGCAGGTTGGGACCAGCAGTTAGCATAATGGCTATGTCGCTGGACTCCCGTGTAGTCTACCGCGGTTCAAGTCCCGGACCCCGTGGCTTAAAATTCACACCAGGCGCGTGTGCATGCATGTCCAAGATCCTGAGAGGAGAATGGAGGAGAAGGGATTGCAGCATGGCCATCCCCCCTGAGGGGTGATTTCTTGCTTTCTGTCTGTCTCTAGTGAGCACACGCACCCTATGGCAAAAAAAAAAAAAAAAAAAAAATCAGGCATGTTTAAAAAGACCCCAAAATGACTATCAAGTTCAGCTGTTGTCAAAGCCCATGTTGGCTTCAACCACAGGCTTCCTCACACCACTTGAAGAAAGCTCACCCAACGATGGCTCTTACCCCATTGCAGTGTCACCTCAGAACCCCACTTCAAAATGTGGATTTCTAGTCTGAGGCTTCGGCACCAAGCCAGAGTCTGCAGTGGAACTGGCTATACAGCATCAACCTCAGTGACCTTTCTTCCACAGGTGTCAGACACCCAGAAAAGGAAATGCCACGATCATGGAGGTTACAGGTGGCATGTTGCTGTCTGGGGGTGGGACCTGTCCAGCTGTGTCTTTCTTCTTGGAGGGTGTCGTGGCCATTCCTGGTCCTTTGTGTTTCCTTATAGAGCTGAGAACCAACTTCTAAATTTCCACCAAACAAGCAAACAAAACTCGCAGGGACTTATTAGGATCTAATTTAATTGACATCTTTACAATAGTGAGTCTTCTAATCTGTGATCATGGTATTTTTCTCTTCATAGGTTAACAAATTGCTAATAGAAGCAATGTCGAATCTAGAGATTATTTTATTACAAACTCTAATTTTCTTTTTCTTTTAAAGGTCACTAAATGACAAGAACAGTGGGAATTCCGTTTTGAACAATACCACGCCTAATGCAACACGACAGCCCACTTCTGCTCCTGTGAGGAAGCCAGGACCTCTGCCTTCTAGCCTGGATGACTTAAAGGTAGTTCATAATCCTAGTGGAGCCCGTTCGCTCTTCGCACCACCGACACCTAGGAGATGGCCCAGATTCGCCCAGCAGACACAGGCAGTGTTCGGTAGACGTTCTTCCTTCCCACAAGATGATGACCTTTATACAACACTTTCTTCTCCTTTCATTAAGTTTCTTTAAAACAACCACTAATAACTCACATTTGCTGAGCATACACCTTGTGCAGGAACCCTGCCAGTTCTGTTGTTTTCAGAAACTGAGATTTTTTTTTTTCTTCGCCACTCTGCCAAGTTTTGGAGAAGCAGGAAAATGTAACAGTGAAAAACACGAGGCTCCAGGGCCAGCCTTCCAACGTCCCTAGCCCAGTCCTGCCTCTGTTACCTGTGGTAGTTTGGACAAATCAGTCAGCCCCTCCCCAGCCTTAATCTCCTCATCTGTAAAGTGGGAAGAAGAAAAATACTGAGGTCATGTGAAGAGTTAAAAGTGTAAAGGGGGGCATCAGGCGCCATGGTGGTTAAGGCACTGGACTCCCAGAAGGCCAGTCGCAGTTCAAATCCTGGACCTGGTAGCTTGAAAATCGCACCAGGTACATATGCATATGTGCCCAAAATCCCAAGAGGAGAATGGAGGAGAAGGTGTTGTGGTGTGGCCATTCCCTCTGGAGGATGACTTTTCACTTTGTTTCTCTCTGTCTGTCTCTTTCCAGCAAGCGCATGTGCCCTGTGGCAAAAGATCTCCCAAAAAAATAAGGTGTAAAGGGGGCTGGCCCCATAGTGTAGTGGTTTAGGGACTTGGATCCCACATGGCTGGCTGCAATTGAGTCCCAGTCCCCGCAGCCTGAGGAATGCACCAGGTGTGCATGTGTGTCCAAGGTCCTGACAGGATGGAGAATGGAATAAAGGGGTTGCAGTGTGACCACACCCCTTGGGGAGTGCTTTCCTTCTCTCTCTCTCTCTCTCTCTCTCTCTAGCAAGCATATGTGCCCTCTGGCAATTATTAGGAAAAAAAAAAAAAAAGGAGTAAAGCATTTCCAACCATGTCTTGCACATGGTAACTACTCAATAAATGGAGCTGTTATCATTATCAACATTCCTGACAGTGTATATTTTCTTTGCCATAAAAGAGGAATTACCCTCCCAAATCCCTTACTTTATCACTGGCCTCTCAAGTTCTTCAGGTCTGTCATTACATGCATTTATGTTTGTTGAGAAAGAAAAACAAACTGTTCCACACTGCGATACGCAGTAACAGAGCTGTCGACAGACCTGGGCGCCCCCTCATCACAGAAGCGCACTGTAGGTCGGTCACAAAGTTAACGTACCAAGAGATCTGCTCTGCTTGTGCCCCCAGGTGTCGGAGCTGAAGACAGAATTGAAGTTAAGGGGTCTGCCAGTCTCGGGCACCAAACCAGACCTCATCGAACGCCTGAAACCCTACCAGGAAGTGAGCAGCAGCGGCCTTGCTGCTGGTGGCATCGTGGCAGTGTCGTCGGCAGCCATCGTCACCAGTAACCCGGAAGTCACCGTGGCACTGCCGGTCACTACCCTGCATAACGCCGTGAGCAGCTCAGCCTCCACTTTCAAGGCAGACTTGCCGCCTGCCGGCTCCAGCAATGCAGCCCACGTGGAACATGGTCCGTCGCCACTACCCATCTCACCCGCGCCCTCAGAACAGTCCAGCCTCAGTGCTGACGACGCCAGCATGGCAGACACGTTCACCGAGATTATGACCATGATGTCTCCCTCACAGTTCCTCTGCTCTTCTCCTCTGAGGATGGCAGCTAACGAAGACAGCCTGAGTCCCACCAGCAGCACTCTGTCCAACCCGGAACTGGATGCGGCCGAGAAGGATCGCAAGCTTCAAGAAAAGGAGAAGCAGATCGAGGAGCTCAAGAGGAAGCTGGAACAAGAGCAGAAGCTCGTGGAAGTCCTGAAAATGCAGCTCGAGGTTGAAAAACGAGGGCAGCAGCAGCAGCAGCAGCAGCGGCCCCTGGAGCCCACACCCAGCAGCCCAGCCCATCCAGTAGGCATGTCAGGTCAGAAACCTGGCGGTCCCAGCTCCTCTGTCAAAGACGAGGCCTCGCTCCCTGACTGCTCCAGCTCCAGGCAGCCCCTCCCGATGGCCAGCCATCCCGGAGGCCAGCCCGTCTCTACAGGCGGCCAGACTCTTGTTGCCAAGCAGGCGGTGGTCATCAAGCAGGAGGTCTCCGTGGCCCCAACAGAGCCGCCAGGCGCCGTCCCGCAGTTCTACGTGAGCTCCCCGGGCCAGCCGCCACCCGCCTTGCTGCCCACGCAGACTGCCCAGCTGCTGCTCCCAGTGTCCATCCAGGGCTCGAACATCGCCTCGGTGCAGCTCCCAGTGGGCAGCCTCAAACTGCAGGTGTGAAGTGGGGCATCTAATCGCTTTGCCTCGCAGCGCACAGAGTGGCAGTCTGCGAGGGATGGAACGAACGGTCCTGAGCTTTCCCATAAACACGCTCAGTGGAGAAGCGAGCACAGTGAGGGAGGGTGCCTACTCCCAAACAGATGGCCGGCAGGCCAGCACTGCTTTCTTGTAGTGAAAACGAACAGGGTGCTTTTCTGTTTCGGTTACCATTGCCCTTTGATGAACAGGTCGATTTAAGATCCAGCAATGTTGTCACTGACAGTAGCCACTGCTTTTTACGTGTAAGGGGCAGCATCGAGTACCCGCAGTGCTGACTTCATTTACTCCTCCCTTCCCCCGGAAGAACCAAGTGACAGAGCCCGTCTTGAGATAAGAGGACTGAAGCCTAGACAGGGTTATTTACTAGTAAGGTGCCTAAGGTGTTTAAGCCTAGGCCTTCTGACGTCAGGACTTACTCCCTCCCATTCTGCCTCCCACGGACCGTGGTTCGTGGCGGTGGTGTGATGTCACGGGGTGTGTGTGGTGTTTTAGATGGGGCCTTGCTGTGTCACGATCCTCCTGCCTCAGTCTCCCGAGCAGCTGGGACCATAGTTCATGCCACCATGCCTGGCACTTTCAGACAAGGTCTCCCATGTTGCCCACCGTGGCCGGGTGCCACTGTCCTCTCTCCTCAGCCTTCTGCGGAGCTGGCTCTCGGGCATGTCCTCTGTGAGCAGGGGTCTACACCAGGCCTCCCGTGTGCTGCCACGCAGCAACACGCTCCTTCACAGCTGGGCCCTACAGTCAGTTCTTGAAAGGCCTCATTAATGGTGATGATGCCTAAACTAAGGAAAACGTGGCCACAGATTGAGTGCGACTGCATGAGATTGCCCTTTATGTCTACGCGACCTTCACACCACCGGCTATTTGTGGGTGGTGTAGACGTGGTAGGTCTTGACCAGACAGAACCACAACAGGAGGCCATCTGGACCGGTGCTCGTCAGCCCTGGTTACCCAGAGACCAGTAACAGCAGAGAGGGATGAGGCCCCTGGGCATGCGGGAAACTTCTTATTCTTCTGTTTTAACTTTAGAGTGTCTGTGAGGTTGAAAATTCACCCCACAATAATATCTTTAAAAACAGGTTTTTTTCAGTCTAAGTCTTCCATTGATGTTGTAGGAACAGGAAGCATGTTTCATGCTTAACCTGTGTAGTCCCAGAGTGCACCTGTGGCTAAAGAGCAGGCACTGAGACAGTTGGGTCTTGCAGATTTCCTTACAGCTATGGAAAGGTCACAGTACCAGACCTACTATGTGTAGAGCTACTGTAGGTTCTTATTTCAGTATTCTGTTTTCCCCAAATTTTCAAATGAAAATCTTAGCCACTTAAGAAATGCCTGGAGCATGGGGTAGCGGGCCTGCAGTTTCACTCTGGTTTAGAATGGTTACCGCTCGTCTGCATGCAGGTGAACCAAGTGTGTACCCATGAGCAGTTGTCTTACTTCATTTTACCTACGATCCGCAAGCGGCCCGTTATTCTACCTCTACACTCTTGATTCTAACTTGGATTATGACCATTGACTCTTTTTTGTTTTTTCCTCTTTCTTCAATTCACCTCCTAGACACCACCGCAAGCGGGAATGCAAACTCAGCCTCAGATAGCAACTGCTGCCCTGCCCTCAGGTGTGGCCCCGACAGTGCCTCAGAAACAAGACACCTTCACGCAGCACGTGCTCGGCCAGCCTCAGCAAGCCAGAAAGGTCTGTGAATGCCAGCGACTGAGAAACTGAAGCCCGTTTTTACTGTCATCCGACCGTCCATTCCCCGGGTGCCTTCCTAGAAGCCGGCTCCTTGGGAAGCTCCCACTGCTCTTTTCTGTGGTTTACCTCCCGTAAGATGAGCTTAAATCAGATGCCGTTTGGCTACAGATCATCCAGTTACTCGGGATGGAGAAAGAGCACTTTGTACTGAAAGATAGCTCTTTGTTTTGTTTTCTTTTGCCATAATATATGGATATTTTATTCCAGCTCTGAGAAATGAAAAAAAAAAAAAAAAACAGAAGGAAACATATCTTTCCACACACCAATCTAATTTAACTGACATAAATTCAGAAAAGCTAGAACAGATATAAATGTATAGGGACCAGCAGTTAGCATAATGGCTATGTCGCTGGACTCTCATGTAGTCAACCGCGGTTCGAGTCCTGGACCTAGTGGCTTGAACTCACGCCTGGCACGTGTGCATGCGTGCCCAAGATCCCGAGAGGAGAATGGAGGAAAAGGGATTGTGGTGTGGCCATCCCCCCGGGTGGTGATTTCTCACTTTCTGTCTCTCTGTCTCTCTGGCGAGCACATGTGCCCTATAT